CTACTCTTCATTCCGTTGCGTGGGCTTATTGCAGTGGCTTCTCTTATTGCGAAGCATGGACTCTAGGCGTGCAGCTCTCAGTAGTTGTAGCACATGGGCTCAGTAGTGTGGCTTGCAGGCCCTAGAGCGCAGGCTCAGTAGTTGTGACGCATGGGGCTTAGATGCTCCAAGGCATGTGGGATCTTCCTGGACCAGGGCTCGAACCCGTGTCCCCTGCCTTGGCAGGCAGATTCTTAACCACTGCGCCACCAGGGAAGCCCTAGTGAGTCACAATTTTTAAAGGTTATACTCCATTTATAGTTATTAAAGAATGTTGACTCTATCCTCTGTGTTGTAGAGTACATCCTTGCAGCTTACTTACCTTATCCACAGTAGTTCGCACCTCTTAGTCCCCTACCCCTCTCTTGCCCCTCCCCGCTTTGCTCTCCCTACTGGTAACCAATAGTTTGTTCTCTGTATCTGTGAGTCTGTTTCCGGTTTGTGATATTCTTAGGACTTTACACCTCACTTGTGGCGCCTTTTATTTTAGTTCCCTGTGCACGTATTTGTCGCCTCCAGACACTAAGCTCCTTGTCGTGCAAAATACATCAGTCTCTCCTCTGCATCCCCACACCTGGCCAGGGGTCTTGGAGATTGATGGGGTGGGACCTGCCCCTGTGTGTGGCCAACAGCACATCCCTGGTACCATTACACCCCGTAATGATCAATCTTATTATTAGTCAGGGGGCTAGGACATAACCCCATAACCCCCAATTCCGCTCCCCTGAGTAGGTCACAACAGGGCATTCCAGAAATTCCCCAAAACGCATTGTCCTGCATTAAGAGCTGGCCCTGTGCTGAGCCACAGGATAGCAGCAGAAGTCAAGACTTGGGCCTCCAGGCACGGTCTGAGCCACCTGCCCTGGTCCTTTCCCACCTGCCGGGCACTGCTGGTGTCAGCTGAGCGCTGGGCTGGCTCCTGCCTCCCCTCCCTTCCACCCATCTGTTCGCTTCTTGGACCCTGTGCAGCTTCCCTTAATCTCATAAGAGGCAATTTGCGTGCTCCGGGCTGGGAAAAACCTGGCAACAAATAATCCCCGGTACAAGTATTCTTAAGCCTTCCCCAATTGGTCACTAATAGCAGAACAGACGGTGACATTTGCGCCTTTTCTGCATGGTTGACCAGGTAGCTCTGGGAGGCTGAAACCAGTAAAGGCAGGGCTGCAGGAGGCTCAGATGCTCACCTCTCTCACCTGCATGACTCATGGGAAGAAGCTGATTCTAATCGGTCCAACTTCAGATTTGCAAAGCCTCCTTTCCCATCCCTGGGACCCCTCGTGGCTCCGGTTTTAATAGTCCTGGGCTCAGGAAAGACTCACGAATAGTGATGAAAATTAGAACAAACCTTTATGAAACACCTTGTGTGTGCCCAGATCATTTACACACGTGGCCCCTCAGCCTCACGGCAGCTTTGCAAAGTAGGTGTGTCACCCCCATTTTATAAATGGGGAAACTAAGGCTTAGAGTGGGTGAGGAATGTGCCCCACATCATACTGCTAGTGACAGGGCTGGAGTTCCTTCCCAGGCCCGCCTGGTTCTGTGTTTTTTCCACTGTCCAGGACCCAGACCCTGGCAGGTGACCCGTTAGGCACTCAAAGTGGGTCCCTGAGGCTACCCGTCACTCACACCTTTTCTTGTAGTTTCCCTGCCACAGAAGGACATCTTCCTTCCATCACATCCCCGTACCCTGATTCCTCCTCCAGGAAGCCCCTCTGTTTCTTCTCGCCACCCCTACGCTTGCGGCAGGCCTTTCTTAAAGCCCCAAAGAACTTTACGTGACCCCTTGAGGAGACGCATCACCTTCTCCCTCACGGTCTAGCAACTCGGGTCAAGTGCAGCCGTGCACAGACTCTCAGTAAGTGTCGCTGAATGTCCTGGGAGTTGCAGCAAGCAGGACTTCAGCCGGGCTGCCCCCGCATTCAGGAACAGGGGTGGCAGTGACGCCCCCCAGGGCATCACAGGAGTCCTCACTCCACCCGCTCCTGGACCCCAGGGCATCCTCGGGGCATCACTCAGCCTCTCCCTCCTTGCCGTTCCCTCCCCGCTGAAGGAGCAAGTGAGGCTGTGCACTGGGCTCCACAGAAGCCAGGCAAGCTTACCAGGTGGCCCTGACATTCCTGTCCAGCTCTGGCTGGGATTAACGCTAAGGGCAGTGGTCACCTCCCCTCCACCTGCTACTGGAGCAAAGGCCTGGCCAAAGTGCCCAGAGAGACGGGAGGAAGAGGGTGAGCACACTCCACACCATCTCCCGAGGGGGGTGCAGGGGATATGGGGACATCAGCACCCTTGCTCCCCGCATCAGGCTTCAGTGCGGAGTTTGCCCCGAGGCTGTCTCTCCTGTTACACTAACTAACCCCACACCCCTTGCTCTCTGCACTAGTGCATGCGGACCCCACAGAGAGCTGCCTCTCATACCAGCATGGGACCACCTGACCACCAGATCAGTGACTGGGGAGAGGCACAGACTCAGATACGTGTAGGTGTGGCAACAGACTTAGGACACTGCAGTACCAGAACGTGTCCGCAGAAGACCTGGGGTTGACAATTATCGGAGGAAGGGATGGGTGAGCGCCATGGTCCCTCTGAGCCTGGCAGGGAGGACCATGGCCACCTTGGGTGTGGCTCGCTGGGCCCTCTTTCTGCCTGTTCCACACATACACACACACACACACACACACACACACACACGCACACACAGGCACAGCCAGAGTCAGGCCGCAGCACCACGAGCTCCTGGAACCATAAAGCCTTAAAGATTGTCCAGACCACAGTCCCTTCCAGGGGTCTCTACAGTGACCCTGACAGCAGAGGGAGGCCTTGGCCTTCTCAGCCTACATTTTAGTCCCAGAAAAAATTCCACCACGCCCCCCCGCAGAATGCTAAACCGGAGGCTTTCAAAGATTCTGAAAGAATAAGAAGAGTTTGTTCAAGCAAAATTTTAAGTGGTTGACAAGGAACAGAAGCAGAAAAGGTCTGGCTGGAGAAGGGGTGAGGCCTACAAGTCAATTCATTCAGCCCCACAAACACACACACACACACACACACACACACACACACACACACACACACACGTGCATACACCGTGGCAGCCAGGCCCCTGGAGCGCAGCTGTAAAGGCATCACTCAGGGTAATCCGGCCCTTATAACCTCAGCCAGCAAAGTGCCTCTTCCCTCCCCAGGAAGTAACTGGGAATTGCGGGGGGACCTCAGATCGGAGGCCGGGGGTGTGTGAGCTCATAGAGCCTCACGGGGTCTTCAGCGTTTTAAATATTTTCCTGGAAGACGGTGGGGACCTCCCCGAGCCCGATGGTGACGGTTCACTCCATGCCAAGGTGTGCTGCGGGTCCCCAGAAGAAGACTGAGGCGAGGGGCTAGGCGGTCAGGGGCGGCCCCTTCGGAGAGCCTGGTGGGCTGAAGGAGGCGAGGCAGAGAGCGGGGGGTGGGGCGCTTTGGAGAACAGTCTAGAGAAGTCAGAGAGAGGCGCTGAGCAGAAAGCAGCGGGCAGGGAGCAGCCGGCAGCAGGACAGGTTTGGAGAGAATCTACGCAAGATGCTGCCCAGGAGGTTATAGAAAACGATCATTTGCCTTTCACCTCTCTAGACTGGAAAGCAGGAAGTGAGGGAACCGGTGAGGAGATTCTCTGGACAAGAGCCTGCCCCCGTGGTGGCACGCCGCATCCCCAAGGGCTCCTGAGCCCAAAGAGGAGGCCTCAGGGCCTGTCCCACTGGGCCATCCCTCCACCTCCTCTCCATCCTCTTGCACTGCAGCCTTCATCTCCTGTAGAAGTGACACCTGACTTAGGTTCTGCTTGAGAAAAGCATCTCATTGACTCGAAAGAGAAAAGTGTTTAGTATTTAATGCACAAAAATTAAAAGTATGCTGGGGACTTCCCTGGCTGTCCAGCGGTTAGGACTCCATGCTTCCACTGCCAGGGGTACAGGATCAATCCCTGTCGGGGAGCTAAGATTCCGCATGCCGCCAGGTGCACTAACTACGCCCGCCCCCCACATAATTCGCCAACCATGTCCTCTGGGGCAGCTTTATGAGACTATCCAGTGAGCCTGTATCCCTCCAGAAACATTCTTTCCATAGAAATCCAAGGGGATGCAAACGAACGCAGTGTGAAAGCCGAAAAGTCTCTCTGAAGCCTGCTAGGCCGGGTCGGGAGACTAGTCCCCCCGAGGCTGGCTCCTACCTCCCTGCCCCCCAGGCTCCCTTCCATCGGCCCCCACCCCAACTCCTGGCTCTGAGGCAGCCTCCAGGGTGAAATAGTGACCGCTTAGTGTCCACCTGCACGCCTGCTTCTGACAACCTCTCCTCCTGGCCCCTCCAGAGCCCGGTTTCCATGGTGACAGCCCCTCTTCTCCCTGGGGCACCGCCACACCCGTCACCCTTGGGCTCCTCACCCTCGCCCCAGCCTGCACCTTGGCCTGGGGATGCTTCCTGCACTCCAGCTCTCCGGGCACCCTCACCGACACCAAGAGGAAGCGGGACTGGGGTGGGGTGGCGGGGAGACCAGCCCAGTTCCCACCGCAGGCCTCCCTATTCAGGGGCATTCTGGGGGCTCAGGCTCCACTGCTGAGAGCCAGCTTATCCCAGCCCCGGCTCTCAGCTGACAACCTGATGCTTCTCTCCGATCACACAATCTTCCGCAGCTACTGCTGCTGTCTTGACACTGTCCTTGCAAGGAAGATGCTGAGACAGAAGAATGCGCTGTGAAATCATCATTAGAGGCTGGAGAAGGAGGCTGGGAGAGGACCGGTCTCCCGCTCACTCATCCTCTCTGCATCCCAGCGTCTCCCGCCCCTCTTCCTCCTCCTGTTCTCCCTCTGCCTTCTCGCCATCTCTCTCTTCCTCTCCACTCCTGCTCTCCTGCTCTCCTCACTCCCCTCCCTCTCTCGCTCCTTCTCTGGTCTCTCCCTCCCTTTCTCCTCTCATCTCTTCCCTCCTTCTCTCTCTTGTTTTGGTGCCAGAAACAGTCTAATTACAACAGGGAACTTGAAGAGACAGAAAGGAAGAAAAAAAAGAAATCCCACCCCACCACACATAGCTGATGATAATGTCCTATGAAATCTAATTTATAAAGCTCAAACCAGAATAAAAAGTGTTACTCTCCCAATTCAGGGCCGATTTGATTTTTAATGAGATCTCTCAGAGACCCGGCCAAGATCTCATCAGGTTGAAAACTCAGCTACCTTCCCGCCTGCCACAAACTCTCCAGTGTGGACCTCTGTCTCTCCTCCACTGCCATCCCCAGTGCCCCTTGGAGGCACACGCCAGTGGCTCCCTTCTTAGGGCCGTCTGCTGCTGAGAGCTTGGCCCTAACCGAGCCTGGGGCTCTGTGTCCCCAAGTTGGACAGCAGCCAGTGTCCAGGACCTCTGTGGCCACCTCTGACTCTCTCCAGGGGGAGGGGCAGCCTGCCCACCAGGTCCTGTTTTCCTCGGCCGTGTATCTGCATCTGCAGAGCAGGGGGTAGGAGAGAATACAGGCTTAGACGTCATGAGCCCCAGGTCAAACCCCACTCATTAGCTGTGTGACCTTGGGCAGGTTACTTTCCCTCTCTGGTCTGGGTGTCTTTACTATAAAATGGGACTAGTCCTGCTCTGAAGTGTAATGACATGGGTACAGGAGGGACAGCATGGGAAGCACAGATGGTACTGTGGGCCGGGAGCTCAGTGGATGTCAGTGTCCCATGTCCTGTTGTCCATTCAGCTGTGGCCTCCCAGGGAACGTGGGTCACATCACCCCCCTTCTTCAGCAATCCCTCCAGGATGAGACATAGGGACCTGCATGCAGTAGATGAGAACATGGTCCTTAGAGCCAGAGAGTCTTGGATTCACTGCCCTGGTCCTGTCACTAGATGCTCCCTGGACAATCTAGTTAACCTCTAAGGCTCAGTGCGCCGAGTGCCTGTGAAAAGGGGTTAATAAGGCTCCACACTAGTGCTGCGGGGATGTGACGGCCTCAGAGAAGGCCCACAGGGCACGTGGTGAGTCACCAACAGGCGCAGCTCCTGTTACTAATTTTTTACCTCCTTGGGCCTCATTTCCTCATCTGAAAAATGGGGATAAAAATAGTACCTGCCTCATAGGTTGTTATGAGGATGAAAATATTAACAGGCTAATATTTGTAAATCTTGGAACAATGCCTGGCATATTGTACCCAATGTGGGTGTCTCTGTTTAATAAAATATGAACTGCCTACCTTAGATGGTTCAGGGAGGTATGTATGGGCAGGTGTGGGTTCACACTGATGATTTGCTCCCAGTGACAGAGAGGCTGGCGCAGGGTCTGCTGCAGAAAGAAAGAGACAGGAGACGATTACCTGCTCACTCAACCCCACCACCCCTCACACTACACCACCCCTCATCCCGCCAAATTTGGCCCTAGGCCCATCCTGGGAGCCACTAAAACTATGATATTATTGATATTTCTTGGATTCTCAGGTTTAACCAAAGCACACCACGCCCTATGCCTGTTGCCCTCTTGAAGCACACCCCGCCTCCCAGAGTGCTTCCAACTGGGGGTCTGTCTCCTGCCTCTGCCCCCTTGTGGAAGTAGGCACCAGGAAGTGGCGTTAAGGGGAAAGAGGAATAACACGTGCCAAGTGCAGTAGCACATGGCCCGTTTTGGGGGCTGCAGGATGGCTGGACCACAGCGTGAGTGCGCTGGGGATTGATGGGCAGGGAGCCTGCAGCCGGGGCCAGCTCCTGCAAGCAGGGGATGGAGCTGGGGGCAGTGAAGAAGCCGCAGCTGGGCCCCAGGCAGGTAGGGAGGTGCTCTGGGGGTCCTTGTCCCCCAGGGCAGCCTGGGCTCTGCTTCCATAGCTCGAGGGGAAGCCCTTCCGGCAAGTTACTGACCGTTGCATTCGTTTCCTTCCTAGGTCAAGTGTACTCCTTCAGCCAGCAGCCCCAGGACCAGGCTGTGGTATCGGGGCAGCCGGTGACACTGCTGTGCGCCATCCCTGAATACGATGGCTTCGTTCTGTGGATCAAAGACGGCTTGGCTCTGGGCGTGGGCAGGGACCTCTCAAGTGAGTATCCCCAGACCTCCCCAGGAAGGCCTAGAACCCGCCCCTGCCCTACCCACCCACGCACCCCCTCCTAGGGAACCCCATCTTCAGAGGCATTTGGGGATTAAATCTCAGCTTTCATTGCAGATCCCACGGGCAGAGGCAGGCAAGGCAGGCCCTGGGTCCAGGATGCATGGGACTTTGCGGGCCCCTCTGACTCCTGGGGATGAATTATGAGTAAACCCTCAATTCGGGCGGTCAGTCCTAAACTTAACACAGTGTTGCCCTGGAGGGTCCATTCCAAAGTCAAACATGATTCACATAAAGTCAGTTTTCCAGAAGTAAAGTGTTCCTTTTCCTTTGTCCAACATGTGTTCCCCACTTAAGTCACAAGTTAAGTGTTGTTCTTCCCTCCTTCCAACCATTAAAGGGAGCCAAGTAGATTGAAAACGCGAAGAAACCTGGTTGGGTTTAGGGGTCATCATGTGATGGGGAGAAAAGAAAACCAGTGTTTAAAATAAATTCCAAGCCTCGTTCAGCCCACCACCCAGGCTGGTATTCAGCAAAGATGCGCTGGTGGGCTCCCATGGTTGTTGATGGCTGACGTCTGTGCTGCCTGGTTGGTGCCCACGCCCCATCACCTGTTAACTATTGTAAATGTCAACGCTTAAGCCCACACAGACGTTTTTCCAATCCATCCTCTCCTCTGGGAGAAAAAAGAATGAAATCATCCTCCTGGTCACTCACCCATCAGCCATTATTATTCTCCCCTGAGGAGGGTAGGCATGTGGTTGTTTGCTAGCTTAGCATAAACTGTAAAATGCAGAACGAGGAATGTGGGTATCCCTGCGGTTGGGGAGTGTCTGGGGGTGGAGAAGGAGAGAAGAATATGTGTTCAACTGAGAAGTAGCTTGGCCTCTCTCATGGTGTTCAGCTGCAGGAAAATAAAAATCGAAGTGCACTCAGGAACATGATGGTTGGGAAGTTAATATTTTAAAATGTGAGTTATGTCTTGCCAAAAATGTGTATTGAAACAATATAGCAATGGTCAATAGTATCACAGGGTTTGAGTGCTGCAGCCCAGCTGAGCATGGATAAAATACACAATCACATCTCCAAAATATACTGCGCTGCCATAAAATTTAAGTATTGTGGGAACCAGCCAATTTCAGGGACTCTGAACCCCCTTACCACAGAGGAACTGGGGGAATAATACGATCTTCCCAAACCGAGTCCTTCACGCTCCATGAGGCTCTGAGCTGGCCCAGCACTGCTGCTGGTTAAGGAAGCTCTCTGGGTTCCCGGTCAGTGGTTTTCAGCTTCCATCAGGGACTGGGGGCTTGTTGGGTCGGTGAAGAGGAAGCCCCAGGTCACCATGTATGGTTCATAGAAGGGTCATCGCTGCATGGATAACTGACCCTCTGGCATCCACTTCCATGAATGTCTTTCTGGGATCCAGCATTGGGTCCTTCTAAGTGCTGGAAGGCAATGGGATCTGATGAACTGGGATCCGTTTCCTCTCCAACTTGACTCCATTGATAGAAAGAAGGTCAGCCCTCTCCTTGCAGAGCCAATAAACTCAAACTCTTGGTAACGTGTTTTCTCTGTATTTGATCACTTGTCCCAAAATAGCATCATGACAATAATGACAAATGTATGCTCAATAAACACTGTTTGCTTGCCTGATAAGAAAGTGGGTGTAATAGATCTCAATTCAGTTCAGGAAGTATTTGCCGAGCACCTAACACTGTGGGGGAACTGGGGCCCGTGTTATGGGGTTTCAGCCTGCTACAGCTCTGCCCGCTTCTATTTTAAATGTGTGGCCCCATCCAGTCTACCAGAAATGATGCCTTAACTGAAGGCCTTACTACCTTTCTGGTCACCAAAGCTGGAAAAAACAGTCGAAGGAAGTGATTTACAAATACACTCCCTCATACTGATGGAACATTTTTCTTCTAAGAAGCTCAAATATTTCTCAGACATTATCTCATAAATCTACAATCATCCACGGGTAGAAAAAGAAGGCTTTTCCCCTTTATTTGGCAGGTAAATAAAATCACAGCTGAGAAAGAAATTGATTCAAACAAATACCCAATCCCAATGCATGGGACCCTGGCTCCTAACCCCAAAAGCCCTTATACCCTCCTCAAAACAGGGACCTCTCTGGCTACCCTACGTCATTGTTATGTTCCTTTAAACTAGCATTTATAGACTACTTACTGAATGCCAGGTACTTTACATAGATTATCCTATCTGATCTTCACCATAACTCTGTGAGATACTAGCATTGTCCCCACTTTACTGACAAGGAAATGGAAAGGCAAAGGAGTTAAAGTAACTTACCCAAGACAACAGAGCTAGGCAGTGATAGAGCTGACATTGGAACCCAGGCAATTTGTCTGTAGAACCCAGACTTCCAATAACTTTGCCTCGCCTGGGAGTAGCAAGAGAGTATTGATGCTGTGGAAGGAGCTAGAACTTCCTCAGAATCTGTGCTTCTGGGCCTGTGCTTTGCGAAGTTACTGCCAGTCTTTGGGATAGCATCATGGCTCGCTGCCTAATTATGCAAATACAAACAAACCCATCACTGATGTTTTCAGCAGCTTATGAGAGCGGAAGCCTGCTGTTGACGGCTTGCAAGTCAACAAAAACACAAGCTCCGGCCAAGATGCCTGCAGGAGACCAGGGGCTAATCACAGGACAGTGGGATCCAGAGGCTGGGCTGGAGGGCCTGGGGCAGTGAGCCAGCTACGTTGAGGACAGCCGCAGCAGGGTGAGAGCTGGACTAGGACCCACTTCCAGCCCCTCACCCGGCCCCAGGGAGAGCCAACTTAACTTACCCGGGCTCCTTCCCAAAGCCCAGCAGAGGGCAGGCAGGGCAGGCAGGGGGGTGGCCAGGCTCTTGCGGGTACAGCTGACAGCCTTGTAGCATCTCCAGCCAGGCCTGAACAGCTGTGGAGGGCAAGACCACTTGATGGCGTGATGGGGACAATGCTAGTCGTAGAAACGTGAGCCTGAAAGGCTCAACCGCACAGGATGCACCCCAAAAGCATACTGGGGAGTCTGGTGGAGGATCACAGCTACCTCCACTGACCAGAAATGGGTGCTGCTTAACAGCCCACCCCCAGGGAGCCCTGCCCCACCTCTGGAAGACCCTTAGGTTATGGGGGGGTAAAAGGGGCCTAAAAGCACCAACACTTCATCCAGGGTAGAAATCTCCTCTGCAGTATTCCTGATAGGCAATCATCCCATGTATGCTTGAATACAGCCAGTGATGGGGACCTCACTACCACCTCTGGCAGCCCAGATCTTTGTTGGACACCAGTAAATTGTTAACAATATTCTAAAGTATTTCCCCATGTTCATTCTGACCCTTGGTCCTAATGCCGTCCTTGGGAGCTACATGAACACATCTAACCCCCACTAAGAGACTTGGAAATATTTGAAGAGAGCTATGGCACGTCTCTCTGTCTCTGCTTCTGTCTCGTAAGCACTAGTCTTCTCTTTAAAAGGCCAAATGTGGGCTTCCCTGGTGATGCAGTGGTTGAGAGTCTGCCTGCCGATGCAGGGGACACGGGTTCGTGCCCCGGTCCGGGAAGATCCCACGTGCCGTGGAGCGGCTGGGCCCGTGAGCCATGGCCGCTGAGCCTGCGCGTCCGGAGCCTGGGCTCCGCAACAGGAGAGGCCACAACAGTGAGAGGCCCGCGTACCGCAAAAAAATAAAAAAGGCCAAATGTGCCCAATTCCCTCCTCCTATGGCACGTTTCTGAGAACTCACTCTGCCCTAGCGAAAGCCCTTCAGAAAGAGGAGCAGTTTGGGGCTGCTGGAGGCTGGATGGGCCTCTGAGGGGAAGAAGGACCCTGTAAGGCACTGGTGGGGGGAAAGCAGAGCTCTGGGAAGAGGACTGATGGAAAACAGGTCCTGCTGGGAGAAACTAAGGAGGTCGAGGGTCCAAGACCCGGGAGAGAGAGGCTCTGCCCGTCCCGGCAGCCACGACTCACGTTGGCATTTACATTCAACCCGCAGAGCGTCAGGAAAGCCGCTTAATGATTTATCGTTCTCAAGCTTTTATTTCTCTGTTATTCATTGCCCATGGTGTAAGAGGCCCCAAACTTTTAAGTATCCCGAGTGCCTCCTAAGTGTTTAATCAGGCCCTGGGGTTCAGGGGGTCGTAGTAGGAATGACCAGAAAAGAGCCACTTACAGTTCCAAGTGACCAGAGGTTCCTGGGAACTGGTGGGTGGGCCTCGGTTTCTACTTCCTGTCCATCCTGAAACTAAAGTTTTCCCCAAAGTGACTCCTGATCCTTTCCAAGTTTTTTTTCCTTCTCTCTCCTTCCGACTCCGTCTTCTCGGTTTGTACCTCTCAGCCTGGGTCTCTGTCTCTCTGTGTGTCTCCTTATTAGGGTGCATGTCTGCTTTGCAGACCACAGTGCCCAGCGCGCTGCCTTCCAGGGTGACAGCCTGCTGTGTCTGTCCACATTTAGCACCCCTACCTCTGCTGTCTCCTTCCCACTCAATAAGAGCTTCCCCAACATTCCTAAACTTAAAACCTACAGTACCCTAGTACACACACACACACACACACACACACACACACACACACACACGCTGCCCCAGCCCCCTGGGGAAACTCTCTTTTGTGCTCCTTATACTGAGATCAGGGCCCTGTGCAGTCACCTCCTGCTCTGCCAGGCCCTAGGACCAGCCCCGGCTCGGGTGTCCCCGCCATCCCCCACTGTGCCTGTCTGTCATGCCCGGCTCTCCACCCCCGCCCCAGCCCTCCTGATATGCTGATATGCCTGCCGTCTCCACAGGTTACCCACAGTACCTGGTGGTAGGGAACCACCTGTCAGGGGAACATCACCTGAAGATCCTGCGGGCAGAGCTGCAAGACGATGCTGTGTACGAGTGCCAGGCCATCCAGGCCGCCATCCGGTCCCGCCCCGCACGCCTCACCGTCCTAGGTAAGAACGGTCCGTACGCTGGGCTGAGGATGCTATGGGAGGCACCCTGGGCTCAGCTCCAGAAGCCAGGGGCCAGGCTGGAGGGGCCTCCCCACTGGACAAAGCTTCCCGGCATCGTCCCACAGGGCTCTGACCACTGCTGCCCCACTGTGTCAGTCCCTCCCCACCCAAAGGGGGAAAATGAAAGTTCCTGCCCCGGACACCAGAAGGCCAGCACCAGCTGACCTCTGACTTTGCCCAACCCCAGCGTGTTTGACTGCCACTTAGGGAGTTAAAAAGGGCTCCTGGGTGCTTATTTATTGAATCAGGAAGCATGTTCTGCACACGTCATCCGTGTGAGGTCCTGTGCTCGGTGACGGAGATCCAGAGAAGAAGGGGACACATCCTCGAGTGCCTTCTTTCTGAATTGCCCTCCCCTGGTGCTGACAAAGCCCCATCTAAAACCCTCCCCTGTCAGACTCAGCATGGAGCTCAGTTCTTTCCATGATTTCAGCGTCCATAGGGACCACCCCGACCCTGCTCCTCCCCATCTTTGCTGCTCCCTGGGAATCCCGGCTCTCCGGTGGAGGCCCGGGCTGCCTACGTCATCCCCAGGAAAAGCCATTTCAGGTTCTTATGCTAAATCACAGCTTTACCCCTTGGTCGTTCTCCATCTTGGCTTCCCAGGAGCCCAGCACCCCTGGGACATCCTCCTGAAGCGGTCCCCGCTCCTGACTCGGGCACACCTGCCTGAGACCAGGGGACGGGCTCATCTACCTCTCCAGCTGCGTCATCCCAGTATAGAGTTCAGCCCCTGTCAACTGCCTCCTCCGGCCAGATGTTAGCCAGGAGGCAGGCCCTCTGGGATCCACGCTGGCACATAAGTTATAATAGCTCACGTTTGCATAGCGCTGCACAGCAGACCTCTCAGCACCTCCACTTATGTTACCGCGCCTGTTCCGCCGGCCTGCGGGACAGGGACTGTGGCCCCCGGGGGAGGGTCTGAGGCTCAGAGAAGCAAAGGACACGCATGGGGGACGGCACACAGGCAGCCAGAAGAGGGAAATCCCTCCCACCCCCGCCTCCTGCAGCTGTTGTGAAGTTTGACAACAGGGTCGGCAGCTGGGGTGCTGCCTCCTTGCCGCCGGCTGCTCAGAGATGAAATATTTACGAGGGTGTCAGGTTATCTTCAGATCTACACGGCCAGCACACGGGGTAGACTGTCTCAAGCACAGCAGCAGACTGACCCTGGAGGACCACTTACCCAGCTCAGAGCTTGGCTTCTTGAGACGGGAAGGAGGAACCGGGGACCAACCTCAGAAGCCCCCTCCCACCTCTCAGTTTCCCCCCACCTGCGATGGAAGGAATGAGAAAAATAAACCTGCTCTGGAGGGTCAGCAAGTTGGGATTGACCAGGAAGTGGGCCTCCTGTGTTAGAAGGAGAGGCTGCCACCTTCATCTCTCCTGAGATGTGGCTAAAATGGGACCCGGTCTGTAATCGCTGTGGGGATTGAGGGAGGAGAGAGGAGGATTTAGTGCCTAATATATTTTCTGATCTTTAAGGATTGCAAAAGGCCATATAGATTTGCTAAGTGGAATTGTAGAATCTTCACCCCTTCCCTTGTACCCCTTCTAGAGGGTCCCAGAGATGCTAAAATGAGAGGAACCTGAGCAGTGCCCACTCCTGACTTCACGCAGGACGGAAAACAGATGGAGACTTCTCTGGTTCTTAAGTTCACATCCTGATATCAGAGCTTCAACCTGGTCATACCCAGCCTGTCACAGCCTCCTTTCCTCTCTACTATCTCAGGTGACAAAGTCCACATTATCCCAAATGTTTTACAGATAAGGAAGTTGAGGCTCAGAGAGGCAAAGGCTCTCATGGGAGGTCACACAGCTTAATTAGCCCTCAAAATAGACCCCAGATTTTCCAACTCCAAACCACTTATGTTACCTCGCCTCTTCCGATGCCAGCCTGTGGGATGGGGATTGTGGTCCCAAATGAGGGTCTGAGGCTCAGAGAAGCAAAGGGTGCTCTCTGCCCGGTCTCCACATCCCTAAATGCCCTGGGATTGCCTTTGTCTGGCTGGTTAAGAGCCAGGCTTCTGAGAGCAGGGCCTCTGGTTCTGATCTGAACAGACTTAATTTTGTCTTGGGTCATATCTAAAAGGCATTCACTCCCCAGTCTCCCTCTCCAGAGGCCTGACCTGGCACTGGCTTCTGGCGGTTTGGGGTGGGAAATGTTTCACAAGTCTGGAGATCAGTTGAAAAGGGGGAGGCAGAGTTTCCAGGAGACCCTAGCAGGATGACCTGGGTAGAATTCCTGAGGCCAGAAAGGGAGACTGAGCTGGCATTTGTCCATCAGCCTTTCGTAAGGTCTCCACAAAAACCACTCCTCAAGCTTCCCCAGGCTCTGCTACATTCCCCCCTGACTCCTCAAGGCTACCCTAAGTCCCTACCCCGAGTGGTCCTGTGGGTCCCAGCCCTGGCCTGGCCCTGCAGGACTCTAGCTGAGTTTCTCCATGGTATACAGCCCCACCTACTGCCCTGGAGGGAGGCCCTACAGGCAGAAGCTGTCCCAGCCTTCTGGAAAGGGAGCCTGGTCTATTCATGGTGGTGGATAGACAGGGCTTCTCCTGTCCCAGCAGAGAGAGGGCTGTTTCTACTCTGGGCAGCCAGCTTCCCAGCCAAGATCCCATCTGCTTGGCGGTGACATCTCAGCCTGGTAAACTGTCCCAGCCATATCCCCAAGGGGGCCGCTGCTTCCCTATGTTCCAGGAATGAGAGAGCTTTCTTAATTTAGTCCGTATTTGGCCTGAGATAAATGTTTAATTAAATAAAGTAAGAGCCTGATTAGAACCTGCAGAAGTTGTAAGAGCAGAATCGGATGGTATTCCAGCAAAATTGCAAAGCAAACACTTTGGCTGGAACAGAGGGAGACCCGCAGGGGTCTTCCATCAAAGCACCAAGTGAGAAGGGCAAATACGAGAGATCATATAGCCAACAGATGTGCACTGTTAAAATATGCAACTGCCGGCAGCCTGCTTAGAGAAGTCAGAGGGCCAGCTCAGAGTCTGCCATGCTCCAGGGAGGGCATGGGGACCCGGGCCCGGCAGCCAAACCTAGAGTCACAGACACATTAATTAGCCTTGTGTTCCCAGCTCTCAGATGCAATCAGGCAAGGAGCAACCGTGAGCTGAGCATTTGCTACCTCAGGGAGACAGAGGGAAGGAGCCAGGGGACAGAGAGGAAAAGGGGGAAGGGACAGATGCTGTGAAGTTGAGGGAGGCAAGGACTGGGTGCCCTTCCACCCCACAGAACACCTCTGGAATCATGATGTCAGGGGCAGAGCCACAGGCTTGGAGGCAGCAGTCATGGTCCTGCCATTAACCAGCTGTGTGACCTTGTGACTCAGCCTCTCTGGGTCCCAGTGTCCTCATCTGTAAAATAAAGGTGGTGATAACTAAGATGACCTATTACTATGAAGAACCATCCAGCTCCCAGAACGCAACGACTTCTGCAATAAGGAGCCCAACTTGCTCTACCAGCTATTTTCGGAAAATCCCCCACTGGAACCCGAATTCACGTGGTGCCTGAGTCATAGACAGTAACTGATGAGGGTATTTTAGGCAACATCCCACTTTGAGGCTACAGAAAGGACCTTTCAAAGTCCTGCCCAGCGCTGGGATTCTGGCTGTACACCTTAGCCCCAGAGCCCGCCTCCACATCCAGCTTCCATGCACACCCAGCCAGCCCTGCCGGGACGCTGCCCAGGACCCCCAGCACGTGTGCAGAGCTGTGGTGCAAGGGGAAGAGGCAGCGCCGAGAACCAGAATGGAGTCATGGTTCTGCCTGCCGCTTACTCACTGTGTGACCTTGGGCAAGGTCCTCAGAGCTCCTTCTGGGCCTCTGGTTCAGTTCTATAACCAGTACTTAGTACAGGGTAGATACTCAGTAACGTTGGGGATTTTTAAGGAATGAGTGAATGAACGAATGAGTGATTGCATGAATGGATGGAGTTTCTGGTTCTTCATCTATAAAATGGGGATAATAAAAATACCAATCTCCGAGAATTGTTGCGAGCAGGAAACTAACACACATGCCACTAAGTGGCATGAACTTTCAAGTTACACACCCGTGCACACTGCTGCTTCTCCCACCTGCCGGAACCCCTGAGTTGAAAAATACCACAACGGTTCCAGGGCCAGAGCTGTAAGGGTGATATTGCATGATGTGATCCTTCTAACTTCCTGAAAACCCGGAAGGCAGGGATTTGGGGGACTCAGAGCAGGAAGACACGAGCACCAAGGATTTGATCGACATGTATTATGTGCCAGGCACTCGAGATTCATTAGTAAATGAGAGAGAAAAGCACCCCTGCCCCGGTGGAGCTCGTGTTCTAGCAGAGAGAGAGAGACAGTCGACACATAATAAACATTAAGCAAGTACGTTGTGTAGCTGTGTAGGATATCAGATGGTAACAAGTGCTATGAAAATGAGAAAGCAGAGCAGAGTAAGAGGGATTGGAAGTGGGGGGGGGAGGATAGTGGATGCCAGGTTAATTATTAAAAAGGGGATTTTCCCAGTATTCCTATCCTATTTCCCTCTTCTTCCTGGTCTGTTCTAATATTTACTCAGCTGTCTTGTGGCTCCCATTAGAAATAAAGCTTCTTACAACTTAAGTGTCCATCGACAGATGAATGGATAAAGAAGATGTGTCACATATATACAATGGAATATTACTCAGCCATAAAAAGGAAATGAAATTGGGTTATTTGTAGTGAGGTGCATGGACCTAGAGTCTGTCATACAGAGTGAAGTAAGTCAGAAAGAGAAAAACAAATACCGTATGCTAACACATATATAACATATATATGGAATCTAAAAAAAAAAAAAATGGTTGTGAAGAACCTAGGGGCAAGACAGGAATAAAGATGCAGACGTAGAGAATGGACTTGAGGATATGGGGAGGGGGAAGGTAAGCTGGGACGAAGTGAGAGAGTGGCATGGACATATATACACTACCAAACGTAA